CAGTGCCCACACCCAAGTGTCAGGAGAAATGCGTGGCCGGCTATAACGGCACCTACGAGTCGGACAAACACTTTGGTAGCAAAGCATACAGTGTCCGATCGGTGCAGGAGATCCAACAGGACATCCAAAAACACGGACCAGTTGTGGCCGGATTTAGCGTACGTTACGATTAGTTGCTATATGTTTTTATTGTGTTGATATTTTTTTAATGAGCTTGTACATAATTAGTAAATTATTATTATATGTATACAGGTTTATACCGACTTTCTGACCTACAAGTCCGGTGTCTACCATCACGTGACCGGTAAGATGGAAGGCGGACACGCCGTGAAGATCCTGGGCTGGGGTGTGGAGTCGGGTGTGGACTACTGGCTGGTGGCCAACTCATGGAACGCCGACTGGGGAGACAAGGGTTACTTCAAGATCCGTCGGGGACATAATGAGGGCGGTATTGAGGGCCGCATATCGGCCGGTTTACCCAAGTTGTAAATAAATAATGATGCTCTATTTTAAGCTATTTGTATCGTATATTTGATGCAATGTAAAATAAAATTTTATTTCATTCAGTATTGTATTGTCATTTTAATTTATGGTATGAATTTAAATTGCAATCCCTATTTTTAAATATAGTTTGTAGATACTAGTCTTATAAATTATTAAACAATGTTATACCCTGGTAGTAAGACTTTATTATAGGTTAATCAAACAATACACTTGTATCTATTTTTAGCATATATAATAAATATCATAAAAATTTTATAATTTAAATCAGTTCCATAGAAAATATAAAACGATAGATTAGTGTCAATATATTTTTTGTGGCTTTAATTAGTATATTTAGTTACCATTTGGCATTTGAAATTATTTATGTCGTCATTAAAATATGTTGTCTTGCTGTTTTTAATATATCTAAAATAAAATAAGCTAGATCAACGCTGTAAAATGTAAAATTAAGTTTCATATGTTTATTTGTTTTTTATATAAAAATATGATAAAATTACTAAATCATAGAAATTTTCATTCAAATCATCTTAAGGAAATTTGACATTCTTTTAACATTAAGTCTATGGAGAAAAATGATTCTTGAGTATGAAGTTAAAATAAAGTATCACCCTCTGTGACAATTTCCCCAATTAACTTAATGTTAATTTTTTCCAAATATTATGTAACAAGTCTTGAATATATTTTTACAGTTTATTACGACAAGAATATTCATTTAATTTATATAAAACTTTGTTATCATAAACTTTAATATCTCTTTTACTAAATAACATACCCTCCGATTACCCTTCATGACCTCAGCATATGTGTATTTTTTAGCAAAATTTATTTAAAAATTTAATTTAATTAACTGCATTTTATTCATATTTAATAGCATTAAGGGTGAGTATTTAAAAAAATACCCAATTACCAGAACAAATTTTGTAACTATGCGTAAAATGAAGCCATATTTTATCAGACACTGTCAGATACGAGTGGACGACCCTGTTTAAAGTTAAAGGGTACGCTAAGTGCAAGCTCAGTACATTCTACCACGATACTAAATAAAAGTCATGTTTGGTGTTGTTGGAAAAGTATTGATTAAATATCTAGATACACTAGAATTGTCATCGAATTTGTTTCATATTTTTATTTAAGGCATTTCATATCAATGATATTTTTTACAAATTTAATGTTTAATAATACATAGTTTTTACATTTATAAGTAGAGCTAGTATAAATTTTTAAATTAATATAAATGCTAATTTTATAATTTCTTAAACTTAAAAATTTCCAATATAATGCATTTTTACACATTTTGTTATATTGTTTTATGTTTTATTAATAAAAATTCCATAAGTTAATTATGGATCTAATTAAATCATAAATTATTACACACATTTTGCTATTATAGTGTAACATTAACTATTTTATTTAAGCATAATCACTCAATTGATAGCACTTTTATTGTTTTACAATTTAAAATTTATATATGACATCACGTAATGTACATCATAGTAATATAGATTATTTTAAAAACGCTACAAACATGTTACAAAATTACCCATGATAAAATATTATTGCTACCCAAATCATAAGGTACAATTAAAATTAAAACGATGTCGATGGTTTAGTTTAGTACCATTTTAATTGTTTTCTTATCAATTTGGACGAGATCCATACGAATTTGTAATAAAAAAATAATAATGGTAATAAAATTGTGCAAGTCAATTTTCATAAGCTATATAAACGGCAACGATTTGTAGAAATTTATATAGTACATTTTTAACAAGTGTTATTATAAGCAAATTATGGATGTTGATGCTAAAATTACAAGAAAGTCACCATGGGACAATTCAAACTGGATTCAAAAACTAACATTTTTGTGAGTAAATATTTCATTCTTAATTAATGCCTTAAAATTTAGTTATATATAATATTTTTATTTATAATTAATTATTAATATATATTAATTCATGCAAATTTTGTGAACTTAAGGTGGATATATCCTCTATTTTTGAAGGGTATGCGAAAAGATCGTTTAGAATTTGCAGACATGTATCGGTGCTCACAATACGACGCCTCCAAGTATTTGGTTCAATGTTTGGAAAAGTATGCAAATTAATTATTTATTTAATTTCCAAGTCAGATAATCATGATTACTTTATTTTAATGTCTATGTCCATCTATGTAGAAATTGGGAAGTTGAACTAAAGAAAAAATCACCAAAATTATATGTGGCATTATTCAAAACGTTTACCAGACATCATATTTTACCATTCATATTGCTTTTATTAATTGTAAGTTATTTATTAAATAAATATAAAATTTTAAATCATATTATAATTGAAATGTATGTTATTGTATTATATTGGTAAAATGTTATTCATTATAGGAGTGTGTAGTTCGTATGGCACAGCCTATACTACTCGGTTATGTTATTGATTATTTTGCTGGTCAAGACCTAATAACATATGACCATGCTTGTATGGCTTCTGGTGGTGTGTGTCTGTGCACTATACTATACATTATGTTTTTTCATACCACCTTGACACGTTTTATGCAACTGGGAATGCGGGCCCGTAACGCATGCTGTACATTAATGTATAAAAAGGTTAGTTTACTTAAATTTCATTTATTATTTATTTTATTATAATTAAATTATAATATGTTATATTAGTCACTAAAACTGAACCGGCTATCTATGGGCAAGACTACTGTGGGTCAGATGATAAACTTAATGTCTAACGACGCAAATCGATTTGATGAGGTATACTGTATAGAAACTCCAATTAACCTAATTCACATAAATAACTTGATAATTATTTACGTTTAGTTTGCACTATTCGCCAGTTATTTTATAATATCGCCCATTCAGACAGCCATCACAATATATATAATGTACACATATATGGGATGGGCGAGTTTGGTGCCAGTTGTTTTAATAATTGTACTTATTGTGTTTCAATTGTTCATGGGCAAAATGTTTTCAAAAGTTAGGTATGTAAATGACATTATTATATTATTGTTGCTATAACACATTTATGGTTTTAATTAATTTAATTAATTACCCAGATTAATGATCGCTAAGCTCACTGACAATCGGCTCCGGCATATGGTTGAGATCATATCCGGTATGCGAGTCATTAAAATGTATTCCTGGGAACAGCCCTTCGCAGATCTCGTGGCTGAGGCACGAAAGTAAATGACCATAATTTATATAATTTACAAAATAATTATATAATGTAATATATAAATTATGATATAATTTCCAATACAATTAGACAAGAAGTGTCGTGTATACAGAAGTCTTGTTTTCTAAAAGCAATCAATATGTCGTTGTATAGTATGGCATCCAAATTGATCTTATTTACAAGTTTTATCACCTTGGTACTTACTGGTGATGTACTGACCGCTAAGGCTGTATTTGTGTCAATGATGCTATTTAATTATGTAAGGGTCAATATGACCTGGTTCTTCCCACTGGCAATTACTTTTGGGGCCGAGTTATTGGTATCTTGTAATAGAATACAAGTAAAATTTATCATGGTGTGTAAGATCTATAATTAAAACATATAATTATTACTTTTTTAGAAATTTTTGCAATTAGAAGAAATACAAATAAAATCCACTCAAAACTCAAACAATTTATTTAAAAGTGGAACAAATGACAAACAATTGCCCGAAGTGTCCATTAATAATATAACAGCCAAATGGAGTGATGTATGAAATAATATGTTATAAACACTGGTATTAATTATAATTTATACATTATTTACAGGAGAGCCCGTATCCAACGCTTCAGAATATTTCTGCTCATTTAAGACCCGGTGACTTATTAGCTGTGATCGGACCCGTGGGGGCGGGAAAGGTATGCATACAATTAAATTATAGTTAAAACAAAAATTAACAAATAATTGATAATAATTTATATTTAGAGCTCATTATTGATGACAATCCTTAACGAACTGCCGCTTCTGTCGGGGAGTATAGAAACTGTGGGATCGATAAGCTATGCCTCTCAGGAGCCCTGGAATTTCAATAATAGTGTTCAAAATAATATACTTTTTGGAGCCGAATATAACGAATCCCGATATAAACGAGTGGTAGAGGTGTGCGCTTTGGAGCGAGACTTTGAGATATTCCCGTTCGGAGACAAGACATTAGTCGGTGAGAGAGGGGTATCGCTATCGGGGGGACAGAAGGCTCGCATCACGTTAGCCAGGTTTGTGTGTAAATATTTATACTTATTTACAACAATTTAAAAAATATTGTGTTAATGTGATAATTAATACAATAACACGGTTTTGTTAACCATTAAATAATTTCTATCACTCACGATTATGATATGTCGCCATTATAGTATAATATTAAAGTTTTATAGACATTCTATAAATTTATTATGTTAAAATAATTTGTAGAGCTCTGTACCGGAACTCAGACATCGTATTAATGGACGACCCGTTGAGTGCTGTCGACACTAGTGTTGCCGAACATATATTTGATAAGTAATGCAATGATTGTTATAATTATGATTACAAATAAGTCTAACATATAATGTATTCGCGATATAATGAACACCAGANCAGATGTATAGTCGACTACTTGTGCGACAAAATCCGTATTCTAGTCACACATCAAATCCAATTCATACGAAAAGCGACACAAATATTGGTTTTGAACGACGAGGGAAAGTGTCTGGGATTGGGATCCTATGATGAGCTCCAGTCCCGGGGCTTAGACTTCATGTCTATTCTCAGCGATCGGGAGAGAGAAGCGGCCGACAAGAGGGCAAAGGCAGAGGACAGGGACCTAAAGCGAACATTTTCCCAATCAAGTTTTGATATTAAAACATCCAGGACAACTTCTTTGGCTGAAAGTTTGATGATAAATGTATTCATGAAATTAAATTAGTTTATATATAAACTCATAAATATTTATATTTTTAATAAGGATGAAGAGATAGAAAACAACCCACAAATTGCTGACGAGGGCCGGGAAACGGGTTCAATATCAGGAAAAGTATATTGGACATTTATTAAGGCAGGCGCCGGTCCGTTACTATTTTCCACCACGCTTTTGTTTACAATCGTTGCTCAAGCTATTTATCACTGGTCGGATTATTTTCTAACGGAGTGGTAAATAAATAAAATAAACATCAACTATGTTAATTTTTATCAAAAATTTATTCCTACAACAGGACTGACAAAAATCAAAACACAGATAACATTAACATTTCTGATCAGAACAGAGATGTGATTATCTACTCCTGTTACTACCGGCGCGACAAGTAGCGTAGGGATAACTCTCGGTAGTGTACCAAACACTACAAATACTCCCGAAGTCAATTAGAGGTGTTGTGAATATTCTACCGTCTATTACGGGCCCCGATATCTGTGTTTGACATCAACCCAGTTGGTTTGTTATTTAAATATATTAAGTAACGCAATATATAATTATAATTATTACCAATAGGTCGGATATTAAATCGATTTACAAAAGATCTTGGAATAATCGATGAGCAGCTGCCAAGCACATCTTTTGATTTAAATTTGGTAATTTAGTATTTCATATAAAACGTTTCATTTTTATTTAAATTGTTTCTAAATTAATTTTATGATTATTTAGAGCATGACACAAGGTGTCGGCGGAATAATCATGATCACAATCGTCAACCCATACTTAATCATACCAGCATTTATCTTAATTGTAGTGCTTATAGCAGCTAGATCTATTTACATTAAATCAGCTAGAGACATTAAACGGGCCGATGGTTTGAGTAAGTTTAAACAGAAATAAATTATGTAAACAAAATTGATAATATTTACCATAACTTATAGCCCGGAGTCCAGTGTTTTCACACGTGAGCACTACATTCAATGGGTTGGCCAGTGTTAGGGCCTTTAAAGCACAGAAGTTGTTTGAGAGACAATTTTACGTATACCAAGATGATCACTCGGCCACCTTTATGCTCGCAACTACTGCCAGTCGCGCATTTGGCCTAATCACAGACGGATTGTGTTTTATGTATACAGTAATAATATTTGCGGTGTTTATGGTATTTCCCGGTCAGTTGGGTGCGGGAGAGGCGGGACTCGCTTTATCATCAGGTTGAATTTAGTGTTAATGTCTAACTTTTATTATATTTTAATTAAATTTGTTATTTTATAATCAGCTCTAATGTTGACGGGAATGACTCAATGGGGAGCCCGACAGTCGGCTGAGATGGAGAGTCAGATGACTTCAGTCGAGCGCATCATTGAGTACTCAAGACTACCACAAGAGGCGGCCCTCACAGCACAGGATAGCCATAAACCCCCTCCAAATTGGCCACAGAAGGGAGAGATAGAGCTCAAGGATATGAGTTTGTGTTACGAGGGATCAGACAAACCGGTGCTCAAGAACTTGAATTGTGTTATAAAGAGTAAAGAGAAAGTAGGGATCTGTGGGCGGACGGGCGCCGGCAAGTCGTCCATCATATCAGCGCTGTTTCGTATGGTTGAGCCAAAGGGGGAGATAGTTATGGACGGCATTAACACGGGATCAATAGGTTTGCATGACTTGCGTCGTGTGCTGTCAATCATACCTCAGGATCCGGTGGTCTTCACGGGAAGTGTGAGAAGAAATTTGGATCCTTTCGGCGAATACAGCGACCAAAGGATATGGAGTGCCTTAGAAGAGGTGCAGCTGAAGGGGGCGGTGGGGGACCTCCCGGGCCAGT